TCCGCACCGACTCCACCGCCGTCCTCATCTCCCGCTCCGCCATGCCGTTCTGTTGCGGGGTGTATGGGCAGGTGAGGTCGTGGACAATCCCCTTGCTGTCCACGAAGTCGGTGAACTTCTTCCCGAGGAACTCCCCTCCTCGGTCTGAGCGCAGCATCAGCACCGACTTCTTCGCCTGCCTCTCCACCAACACCAGCCTCTTCTGGAACTCCAGCAGCACATCCGACTTCTTGGCGACCGGCCTCACCCACACGAAGCGGGTCTTGCGGTCCTTCAGCAGCAGGAAGTACAAGCTGCCGTCCTTGGCAGCCACGCGGAACGGCCCGCACAGGTCGATGTGCACGACGGCCAGCGCGTCGTCGGCGTCGGAGCCTTGGTCGGGGAAGGTGTGCCGCGCCAGCTTCCCGCCGACGCACGAGACACACGGTGAGTCGGCGCCCGTCGCCGACTTGAGGTCCAGCCCAATGGCGACCCCGTTCTTCGCCGAGCTCCTGATAGTGTCCATGCCGACGTGTGCAAGCCTTGCATGCAGCCTGTCCGGCGTCAACTTCGTCGCCGAGACAATCGCTCGAAGAGCCACGACCTCCGTCGTGGGCGGCGTCGACCTCGTTGAGCAGGGACGCAGATCGGTGTAGAGGACACGCCCGGAGTATGTCACCCGACCGAGCAGCATCCCGTCGCCGTCCTCCTGCAGCTTCACGCCGTGCTCCTTCAGCTGGCCGGACGACAGCAGGTTTGCCCGCACACTCGGAACGTACAGCACGTCATCGCGCAGGCAGCGTGACGGACGGAAGCTGCGCGACGGGCAGCATGAAGCAGGGAGCGACAGGGGGCGCCATGAATAACGGTGGGCCCTTAAAAAAAGGAGTCCGCATGAAGGAATAGCTCTGATAGCATGTTAAGATAGCTTCATAACATAGAACAAGTGGTCTAGGGTTTAGGCTAGGCAAGAGAGATGGCAAGCCAAAGAAGGGGTTTCACTAAAAGGCCAGAGGCCCAAGTTATACAAGAAATATAGCAAGAAGAGGTGCACCACCAACTGGAAAGCATGGTAACTACACTACAGCTACACTGCACACAGTTACACAAAATATATATAAAGATATATTTCGACAGTCTCTCCTCTTTTGCCTCTAGCTCTGCGTGTTGTGCCTTCAGGCGCGCGATCTCCACCTGACGGTCTATTCCTTCCTCACTCCCATAGAAGCCCTTCTTTAGATAGCCACATCTGCCGTGTCGCTCGCACAGTGGCGCCTCTCGGCACTCCCAACGCATATGCCCCCGATCCCCACACAACGAGCATGCTATGAGTTTCCGACAGTCCCTTCACACATGCCCCATCTGCGCGCAATTGTGACATCTCCACACATCCGCTCGTGCCCGGCCCTCGGTCTGAGGTGCAAGTGTCGTCGCCACCCAGGCTGGCCGTCCACGCTGTGCTGCTCATTCGCTGAGATGCGCCACTTCGAAGAGGCACCTTCTGGTATTTACCAGCTTTGCCACCTCATTCACCTCCTTCAATGTCGCGTCCATGCCCAAGTCGAATATCCACACATGTACATCGTGTTGCAGCTCCGCATTCAACCCCCTCAAGAACTTGCCGATCAGCCGGCTCTGGTCGTGGCAGTTCATGTCCTCACTTATCTTCACCAACGACTCCTCGACCCTACCAAGAATTCCCGAAACTCGTGAACGGAAATTGCTCGCGCAACATGCTGAGGAATCTTGCCATCGGATCCCTCTCCTCCGGTGCTCGCCCTGTGGCCCACTCTAACAGCTCCCGCTGGGAAATGCGGTGATACGTATTCGCCTCTCTCGTGAGCGTATTAGCCAAGCCTCGAAAGAATTCTTCTGGATCTAACCGATCCTTCTCTCACCGAGCTTGCAGGTTTTGAAGCTGCATGATGTAGTCTTGTTAGCAACGGTCCTTTCCTCATGTCGCCCGAGAACCGCTCCGGCACTTCAATTCTAGGCAGCTGGGTGTAGCACCACCACTGTGCTGCTGCTAATACGAATCAAGTCCATCAAACAATCAAACACTAGATCCTACCACATTTCATCTTCGTCACCACTATCTCCCACATTCTCTTCATCTAGGTCTACCGGGTTGGCCTGGTCTCCAGCCTCAACCTCCTTCCCCCTCCGCCTCCTCTCCGCCTCCTGCCTGGCTATGGTGCATGTGTTGAACGGCTTCCGCTTCTTGTAGTTGCGCCAGATCTCCACTATCTCGTCCCAGTTAGGCTCGTAACGGAGCAATGACATGCACATCAAGTCACTGAGCCGAGCATCTTTGAGGCTGCCTCGCTGCCAGGACTTGATGATGTTCTGGCGCGAGAAACCGCGCTCGCATTCAATGGTGCTCAACGGCAGGACCACCGCCGCCACCCACAGCCGCACCAGGTTCGGGTAGTGCTCCTGCCTCGCTGTGGAAACCGCGCTCACTCAGCGGTGCACCTGCAAGGACGGGAATTAACAGCCGCAATTCCTTGACTGCTCTCTTCTTGTCGACCCCTGCAGTTAGAAAAGACAAGCATAGATAGAAATGCCACAGTGAAATTAATGAAATCTGACATGAAAAAAAGCAATTTAGAGATGCATCACGCAACACCAAAGGGAATGGGCTCACCAGGTATGATTTCCTCGCAGTCATCCGCCCGGAAGAGAGTGATCAGCGACTCAAGAAACTCCTCACACTTCGCGTGGCGCTCGTGCCTGCCAAGCGGCCAAGAGTCGGGAGTGAACAAGCGCACGCCCGACAGCTTGTCAAGGTCGCCCAATCGATCCATTAGGTTGGCCACGATGAGCTCTGCGAACTCGGTGCAGATGTCCAGGCAAGCGTCGTGGTGCCCGGGTCCAGGGTAACCGTCCAGCCGATCTTCATGCACTGTGAATGTGAAGGTGTACGGCTGCCCGTTGGAGTCAACGCCCTCGATGCAGACCTCCCGGGTGCCTTCAGGACCATGCTTCTCAAGCCATGGCGAAAGCTTTGGGCTGAGACCGCCGCCGAACTCATCCCCGCAGTCAACATAAAGGGACTCAAGATGTCCCGTTGTACGTCGAATCTGCACATGAACAGTAGACAGATCGAGCTGGGGTGGAAACAAAGCACAAGCAATAGAGAAGGTGATATATTAAATCGTACACAGTACAAGAAACATTATCGCATACATGTACAGGGGCGGTGCGAGTTATGGACACTATAAACGCACATCTCGTCGCTGGAACGTCCTGCTCAAGACGCTCATCTGGTCAAGGACGTCGGAAAGGAAGAGTAGGAGAAAGTGAAACTTGTACGACGTCACCACAGCGTAAAGCTGTGGACTCCACTCCTTGTGGTCAGCTTGTCCGCAGGGAGGGAAGGGCCAAGTCTTCCACCAGTTCCTTCAGTCGGTTTTAGTAGGACAGGAGTGACTCTTCTTTCCGCCGGCGGAAGTCCCTGAACTCGTCCAGGCGTGCCTTCGTTTGCCCCACGAATTCCTTCTTTAATAGCTGGAGGAAGCGTTCAGTCGGATTGTCAATAAGGCCGGTTTCCAATTCCTCCAATATCTCGCCTTGCACCATCTGATAGAAAGTTTCGGCTTCCCCCGTGAGCGTCGACACCATCTTCCTGAAGAACTCCTGCGGGTCAAAGCCGTCTCGCTCCCAACAATACTGGACCGTTTCCAGCTACATCACATAATTTTCAGCGAGGGGCCTACCCCCGGTACTCCCATGAATCGCTAAGAAACTTCCATCTGAGGCAACGGCGACAGATTCCAGCGTCGTCCCTGCACCGGACCGACGCCTTGTTCCCTCATTAGTTCCCATGCTGGCCTGATGTGCGCCATCTCCTGCGGCTTCCCAGAATTGTATCTCTGTGTGGCTCTCTTGCCCCCATTGACGACTCGGAGGCGGCACGGCTATAGGCATTCCCGGCATTGGTATCGGCGACTCTCGGTCTCCCCGTACCTCCAACGCTCCTTCTCTTCCTTCGCCCATCGCAAATCATGCGCGATCGTCCTCGGATCCGAGACGGCGGCCGGCTTGCCTTCTTCTTCTCTAATCGGTACGCCACGATTTCGCTGCTCTGGGGTTCGGGAGACCGGCGAAGCACTTCGTCGCGAATATTCCTCACTCTTAGACTCCATATCTCCGCGCGGGCTGTTGGCGTGGGCTCGCCAACTCTGCGTCGCCTGCGCTTGCTGCTTTACTTCTCGTGGGTAACTCTGGCCTGATCGCAACTGAATCTTATCCGCCATATCTTGCTTGTTTGTCCTCATCTACGTGCATGGCTTCAGTTAGTAGATGGTTGAGATGCTCGGCGGACTGTAGGTTAACTGCTTGGCTTAAATTGGCTTCTCAGATAGCTATTAAGTGAAGAATCATAGCTTAGTAAAGAGAACAAAAAACAAGCAAGCAGTGCATCTCTGCCTTGGCTACTCGTAAGTATATAGGCTACGTTTACCGTTGGCATTGTCGTCTCGCTAAGGTTTCGCCAAGTTTCTTCTCCCGCTTCTCTGCTTTAGCTAGTTCTCGTCCGTTGCTCTATCTTCTCTGCAGAACTACTTCTCATTGTCCCTCTGTCATGCAATTATATCTAACTTGAACTATCATATTTGCTTATGCCTTTATTAATTGCATGACAGAGAGCCCAGCGAGAGGGGGAAACCAAGGCGAAGCTCCACCCTTGGAGAATGCCGCCATCCAAGAGTCCATTGCGGAAGCATTGCGATAGCGTTTGACGCTGCTCCAGCCGAACGTCATCGAAGTGTCTACTGCCCTGGTCGCCCAGCGAACCGTGAAGGACAACGAGGGGGAGAAACAAATCTCAGGAGGAGGCACACGACATCGCCGACGTCGGGCGTGGCATATACGATGATACTGTGAAATTTAAAGGCGACCGTGGCTCTCCTCCTTCAGGTGGACGTGGGAGGCGTAGGCAGAGGAGGAGCAATGGGGAGGAAGAGGATGATACCGCCCTGGCCGGCGCCATCCGTACGAAGAGGCGGCAGACGACAAGCATGGATGAGGACGACGATGGCGCCGAAATTGGGAAGACGCGTGGCGGCAGGGAAGCAAGGAGCACCAAGGGTACTGCACTGCACCAGGTGGGCCGAATCGGATCTCGGAAGAATTCTGGCGGAAGAAGGGGCAAGAAAGCACCGAGGGGGAAAAGGCCTCAAAATCGCGAAGAAGACGCTGAGGATAAGGAGAACGATGGGGGGGAGGAGGAGGAGGAGGAGGAGGAGGAGGAGGAGGAGGAGGAGGAGGAGGAGGAAGAGGAGGAGGAAGAGGAAGAGGAGGAGGAGGATGAGGAGGAGGCGGAGGAGGAGGAGGAGGAGGAGGAGGAGGAGGAGGAGGAGGAGAAGGAGGAGGAGGAGGAGGAGGAGGAGGAGGAGGAGGAGGAGGAGGAGGAAGAGGAGGAGGAGGAGGAGGAGGAGGAGGAGGAGGAGGAGGAGGAGGCGGACGAGGCGGAGGCGGAGGAGGAGGACGACGACGAGGAGGAGGAGGATGACGAGGAGGAGTAGGAGGACGAGGGGGATGATGAGGATGTCGAGGAGGAGGAGGAGGAGGAGGAGGAGGAGGAGGAGGAGGAGGAGGAGGAGTAGGAGGAGGAGTAGGAGGAGGAGGAGGAGGAGGAGGAGGAGGAGGAGGAGGAGGAGGAGGAGGAGGAGGAGGAGGAGGAGGAGGAGGAGGATGAAGAAGATGTGGCGGCAGATGAGGCCCCAGTTTCGCGAGGCAGGCGGGGGAGTGGTACACGGAAGGTGGGGGGCAGGGCTCGTTATTCTGGAAAGCGCGGGGCAGTGGACACACCGCGGGACGAAGCAAGGGGCAATCCAAAGGCGCGTAAAGTGAAGGTAGAGTCTGGAGAGGGTGGTAACAAGAAACCGAGCAAAAGCACAAAAGGGGATGGAGGGGAAGAGCGGGGGTGTGCGAAAGGGGTACCAGTGGGTTTGGCAAAAAATGGAGCTGCGGGTAAACGTCGCAGCGACCGGCAAAACACCCCGCAAAAAGGTGGCAAAGAGGGTGCGCAGGCTCCTAAAGCGAAGGGCCAGCAGCGAGGTACGTGGTTTGTCAGGGACGGTTGTTGTTCCTGTCATTCTTCTTGACGTGGCGTTTTTATGACCATGACACATCCATTTTATTCCCCCTGCAGGGAAAGCGAAGGTCGATGATTCTGCAAAGCAAGGCAAGGATACTATTTCTTAAACAGTCCCCTGCTAACCCACGGACAATAGAGTTAGCTCGTTGCGGAGAGTCACTCTACACCGGGAGCTGGACTACGGGGGAAGGTACGGTTTGTTTGAGTGATCGTAACGTTCCTTGTGTGTTCTCTCTACTTGCGCATTCACAACGAGAATTGGCAAGAGTTTCACTAGCAAGAGTTCACAACAATGATTGAACAATGATCGCAACAACAATGGCAAAACTGACTACATCAGAAGCAAGTCTGCCTCGCACACAGACAGGTGGACCTCCAGCACAGCAAAGTCGGTGACCTGCCAGCACTACAGAGTGGCACAGCGCCAGCGTTGCAGAAAGGCGGCTACCAACATAGCATGTTGGTGGCTTGCCAACGCTGCATCAAGGCGGCTACCAACGTAGCAAGTCGGCTTGCCGTTGCAACCGCAAGTGACAACAGCGCACATGTGTGCACCTACTTCGCAGGTGCCTGAAGGTGGTTGGTGCGACGTGCACCGTCACGTGCACGGCGCAGATGCCATGTCGGCCACGTGCCGTTGACTGCTCTTAATGAGCCACGACGACCTCGGCATACCTGCCCGAGGTCGGCTTTGCCAAAACCACCTAGGCGACGGTCGCGCACCCCGCAGAACCTTGTTGCCCGGGTAACTTGGTCGGCCGGGAAACCACCAAGTCGACGTCGACTTGAGCAGTAGGAGTCAACCAACTGCTGCACTTGCTCGTCGACCACCCAGGTCGACGGCCACCCGCCGACTTCACCAAGTCGGCCACTCCGCAGGTCGACGAACCTTTTGTCGACCACCTCGAGGCTAGTCGCCGACTTCGCTAAGTCGGCCTCCCAAGGTCGGCCTCAAGTCGGTCTCCCAAGTCGGCCTCCCTCCCAGGTAGACGAGTCCTTTTGTCGACCACACCGGTCCAAGTCGGCTTCGCCCAAGCGAGGGCGGGGCCAACTCCCGTCAACACTCACCTACCGCGCTCACGCTTGGGCACCCCACTCACTAGGGCCGCCAAGAACCCAGAGGATAAACTCCACGGAGAAAACTCATCGTCATCGGCGTGCACACAACACACAGCACGCCGGTCACCGCACCAGCCGTTCAGAAGGGCACGGCGCCTACTGCTGCACGTCGTCGTCACCATCGCCGACGTCGGCCGGACGCACTTGGCCGATTGCGACGGAGCACCAGTTGAAGGCCGAAAATTGCAGCGCCTTCGTCAGGAAGTCGGCCGGCTGCTCGGTGGTCGGTATGTACTTCAGCATGAACTTCCCGCGCTTCACCATCTGCTGCAGCCAGGCATATCGCTGCTCCATGTGCTTGAGGTTGCCCTTCAGCCCCAAGCCTTCGGCGACTGTGATGGAGGACTTGTTGTCCACCCGAAGGACGGTCGGCGTCCTAGCGTCCAGCAGCTGGAACTCTGCAAGGAGGAAGTGTAGTCGGCGTGCCTCCTTGCCGGCTTTGGTGGCCGCGACGTACTCCGACTCGGTCGACGAGAGCGTCACGCACTTGATGCGCTGGCTCATCCAGGAGATGGCGGCCCCGCCGAAGATGAACACTTAGCCACCCGTGCTCGTCCGGCTTTGCTTGTCGCTGGCGTCCTCGGCATCCACGTAGCCGACCAGACACAGCGACTCTGGTCCACCGCAGAACTCCAGGGCGGTGTCACGGGTGTCGGCGAGGTAGGCGAGGCAGCGGTCGATCTCGCGCCAATGCTGGTCGCTCCTCACCGCCAGGCCGCTCCCTAGCTTGCTTCACGCGAAGGCGATGTCCTTCCTCGTCATTGTTGCTGCGAACGGCAGTAGGCCGACCTTCTGCCGGTACTTCTCTTCCTCGCGCTCCTGAGCCTCTTTGTCGTCGAACGTCAGCTCGGCGTAGACGTCGACGGAGACCGGCGTCTATGGGATGCGACTGCCCTGCTCCTCGTCGACGAAGCGCCTGAGCAGCTTGTCAACGTAGGCCTGCTGATGGAGCCACAGCTTCCACGCCGGCCTGTCACACACGATATCCAGCCCGAGGTACTTTTCGACCAGCGAGATCTCACGCAGCTTGAAGGCGGCCTCCAGCAGCCCCTTTAGCTCCTTCAGCATCGCGGTGCTGCTGCTGGCGGCGAGCAGGTCGTTGACGTAGACGAGCACCCAGCACGTCACACCGTCGTCGCCGACCTTGAAGTAGAGAGCCTCATCGACCTGGCTCTTGCTCCTGCCGGTGCCGGTCAGCACCGCGTCGAGCGCCGATTACCACAGCAGAGGCGAATGCTGTACAGGCTGGGGGCGACTCCTGTAGTAAGAGACGGACTCGTCGAAAGTGACGTCCTGAGAACTGAAGAACTGGCGGGTGACTGGGTCGTAGAACGTCCAGCCGGAGGCGTCTAGAGGGAAGCCAAGAAAGACGCAGGCACGAGTGCGCGCTGACAACTTGTTTGCACCAGGAGCGCGAACGTGAGCCAGAGAACCCCAGACGCAGTAGTCAGCTTCTACACCTCGAGAACCCGTCCGAAGGAAGACCGGCGCCACCCGTGGTCGTGCGTCACTAGGCCACATGTTCAGCTGGTGCGCGGCGTAGCGGACTGCCTGAGGCCACAAGAACTGGGGGGCACCGGCATGGCACATGGAGGTCCGGGCAACCTCCATGACCAGGCCGATGCGTCGCTCGGCTACGCTGTTCTGCTGCGGCGAGTCTGGTAGCGTGTAAGACTGGATGATCCCCAGACCCTGACAGAACGTCTCCAATCGAGTGGAAGAAAACTCACCACCATAGTCCGAGTGCAGGCGGAGCCCACAATGGCCCTGGGTCCAGACCAGAGCCTGGCTCCCTGGGGAAAGTGGCCAGAGGCGCCCCAGTGACACCGAGTGTGCAGGAGGCAACAGGCTCGTGTAGAGGGAAAGTGGTAACTACTCCAAGGTCGTGGAGGTGACTGACACCCACCAAGTTCCTGGAGAACGAGGGGGTGTAGTAACCCGTGAGGACCCCAGAGGGAGCCGATGGACACGGGAGGGTGGTGGTGCTGTGAGCAACCACTGGTCCCGCTGTGGAGTTGGCTAGGGAAACAGTGACAGGAGTGCGTAGTGGTGTGAGGTCGGAGCAGTCGCGGAAGAAACAGCTGGACGCCCCAGAGTCGAGGGTGAACGACAGAGACGCATCCTCACTGGTCGAACCTGGGCAAGCTACGCTAGTAGGGAAAGCACTAGCAACCTCTACAGCACCTAAGCTAGACAAACAAGAGTAATAACCAGAATGCTCAACACTAGATTCATCAGCATACATCATAGAGACAGATCGTACAACATCATCTAACTCTGCAGCAGACATGCTAAACAGCCGCGGGCCAACAGTGCGAAGCAGTGAGGCCCAGTCGGGGACAGTGGCGCTGCGGCCAAACTGCGCCCGGTAGCGGTCAGTGAGCTGCGCAAAGCACTGACCGGGGGGGTGGTGGCGGTCACAGGTGCGGCTGTGGCGTGGCCCAGTCTGCACCCAGTACTGACAGGGAGGGTGGGGCTGGCCACGCGACGTCGAGCTGGGCGGGCCGCCGCTGCTGACAGAGCTCCCCGGTCCGGTCGGCCTCCACGGCTGCTGCTGGGGCCACTGCTGAGACTGCTGCCGCGGGCCCTGGAACTGCTGCTGCCGCTGAGGCTGCTGTTGATGCGGCTGCTGTGGCTGCTGGTGCTGTTGTAGCAGCGACTTCTGTTGCTGCTGCTGCTGCTACGGCTGCTGCTGCTGCTGGGGCGCCCCACTACCTCCTCCTCCACTGCCTCCTCCTCCACTACTGCCTCCTCCACTACCTCCTCCTCCACTGCCACCTCCACCCCCTCCACCACCACCCCCACCACCTCCCCCACTGCCACCACCACCTCCTCCTATCTTGCCACACTTCTTGCCCCCTTTGTTGCCAGAGGCAACTGCCGCCACCTCTGTCATAGTAGCAACAGAGGCGGTGGCCAGAGGGGAGGCAAGGAAGGACGGGGCACACCCCTGAAAGATAGGGGGGAGGACGGTACTGGTGGCAGCAGCAAGGGAGCGGGCAAGATCCTCAACAGCAAGGAGCTTCTTCTCAAAGAGGTCAATAGTGAGGGTCATAGGGTTGATAGTGAGAAAGTGGTCACGAGCGGAGGCAAAGCGGTCTGGGAGGCGGGTGGCAAGGAGGTACAGTGTCATCCAGATCGCAGGGGGCATGGTAGCAAGCAAGGCCTGGTCAGGGGCAGCAGCGCGAAGCCCATCGTCGAGCGAGCGCAGGTGCAGAATGGATCGGCAACGCGGTCAAACGAGGATAGCTTGGGAAAAAGAAACGGTAGAACGTGACGGCCGAGGGACACAGTGGTCGGGGTGGA